ATATAAAGATAGTTGTCTATTTTCTTCTTCGCTTGGTTGAAGGTCTGGCGTTAGTGATGTCAGGATCTTCTATAGTCTTTCTCTTTCTCCTCCCTCCACCATGTACCACCTGCGGCAGATGACGAGGGGGCGGGACCAGAGGACGAGGCTCCACCCACTGAGAGCTGATGGCTTTTCGGAAAAAACAGTCAAGGATTCGTATACATACGTAGTTAGCATTTCTGAAAATAAGCTAAAAAATGATGACGATTTTAAAAAATGGCAAGATGTATGGATACGCAGTGAGATCTAGTTCTTGTCTCAAAACTCCTCCCAAAATCAGCTCTGTGGAGTGAATTGCCATCCCTGCCTCAACGGCCGTACTGAGCATGCTCAGATCGTCCGGAGATGCGACAATGATTACCCCCACCCCCGGGGGTTGAGGTAGAGTGGTCAGTACCTCCCCTCCACTGCAGGTGATGATGTCACCCATTTCAGAAGGCGGGGTTTGATGGAAGGAGAGAGGAACACCTTTTGACCAGACAGCAGTTTACTGCAGCCAGCCAGCTCCACTGACCTGTTTACATACATACATACATACAATACGATTATACAGAATGGTCACTATAAAGAGCGGGAAACATAGTAAGGGGGAGAGTACCACAACAATGATCATATTCCGGATAAGATTGAAAATTTGTAACAATCGACTACATAAAGAACTGAAAAAGCCAGAGCTACCATCTTTGTTGAACATACACCCATGTTTTTATCTCTGCCATGCACGTTTGACTCTGCAATAACTGTTACAGCCCTTGAATAAAGTGATCCCACAGAACCTCCTAAGGACAGGTAAACAAGTTTGCTCGTAACATCTGAAGTTTAGACAGGGAAATGAGCATAACAGCGACAGTATCAATAGACTCACAATGAAAACTTTGTAGCTAAAGCTGAAAGAAAGTTTGTGTGTGCAAGTGTTGTTTGCTCTGACCATGTGGCTAGTTGTATAACCAGTTTCTCTCATACCAGCCCAGTACATACAGGAAATGGAAATGATACTAACTTGGAGAGGGAGAACTTGTGCTGTTTCTCTCCGGTCCTATCTTTCACAGGGTAAGCCTCGGGAGCCAGAAATCGTCCCTCCTCCCGGCAGTGATCCAGCCACTGGTCGTTGATCAATGTGGCATCCTCTCTGGCCAGCAGCACTGACTGACCGTACGACGAGACCCCTGGGGATGAGCTGGGAAATGGCGAGAATGGAGAATCTTGGGGAAGAAAATGGCTAAGGGTGTGTACATACCAAAGGTAAACCTTTCACATGTGGAACATCATTATGTTCAAGTGACCCTATGGAGTTCCAAACTACACAGTATGTGTCACACAACGATACGTTAGAGAAAATTATGAATTTCTGGAGGATAGTTCAATACATGCTGGGACACAAAAGTCATAATGTTTTTTAATGCATGACACGTACTACATATAATACTGCATGGTGGAAGAGCTATACAAACACTGTTAGAACTGGCTAGTATAGGTTTGGGAAACGTGTCATAATGAGGTATACACTGTAACTAAGGACCTTGTCGGTGACCAGGTGAGCACACTCGAAGACAGAGTCCACCCATTTCCCCTCCGAGACTTCGAACTGTCTCTTCTCCATCTCTATCCTCCACCCCTGTAAACATCACCTGGTGCAAAGGGGTTAATTAATACCTGTGAACATCACCTGATGCAAAGGGGTTAAGTAATACCCTGTGAACATCACCTGATGCAAAGGGGTTAATTAATACAACAATTACTAAGTAAGTTTATTGTTACTTGTGAAGGTATAGCGAAAACCTCTGCGGATAAGAGATTGGGGACAATGAAAGTGCTCTTTATTTAGAAGCGTTACGTCTCTTATTTGGTGGTAATAGAGTATGGGGCAGAACCCAGTGTAAGCTATAGAGGGTGTCCTATATTATTATGGAGGGGCTCATTCAGGTGGTTCTGATGTGATGACTCATCGCACATTAGCTTTGGCTTTTGCTGGAGTGGAAGTTCTTGCATGCTCACTAAAGGGAGAGAAATCACAAAGAAAACTGAAGCAATTCTGAAGCAACTCTGCATTATTATGTATTATTACTATGCAGTGTTGTTTGAACAAGCACACTCTACTTCATACCTCTAGTCTGCATTACTAGAGAGTATTGAGGCTGTGCGGGAGTGGCTGCGTTTGTGTGGTGTTT